GCCGGTGCCACGGTCCCGCGGCGCAGAGCCACGGCAGCGCCCGATGCTCTCCCCTACCAGCTCCCCTATCGCAGTAACACCGGGGTTTTTTGCACTGTGCCAATAGCTACCCTCCTTTTCTTTTGGTACCAGTTCTCCCTTCTCGGCTCTCTCCCCCAACATTTCTTACAAAAATAAGATTGTGCTTATTTATAAAATAATAATTTTTTTTTTTTTAAGAAAAATTTTCCAGTTAAAAAAAGGTGGTATATCAAAATATGGCAAAACTTTGGCTGTCAATTGCTAAACTCTAATTAAAAATATCGACTAAAAAGGCATTGTGCTGTCAATATTAGCTGCTGTAATGCTTTACCCTCTGGTACCGATGGTAAATATTACACCCGGGCAGGTTAGCTTCCCTCGGACACACTCAGAAGCCGCCCTTGGGTTTTTCTAGCACATCACCATCATCCTTTAGCAGAACTATTCAAACTGTAAGAGACTTAAAGATGCATGAAAAGCCTTGGTAAAATACAACGGAGACTGCACCGGGAAGAGCCACGCTCACAAGGCGGTTGCATACATATTCTTCTTGAGAGGAAAGTCTGTCTTCTCACCTTAGTGCTTAGAAAAAAATATGATTGTTTATATGGTTCATTAAAGAAGAGAGGCAGATCCTTTGTATAAAAGGTATTTTAGAGCAGAAGTAAAATGCAAATGGGTCTATAAGATCCAGACATATATAAACATACATACCTCGATATATTTATATATGTAATCTCTATATATTCAAAGTTTGGGATGCATTATTGCAATATCCTTACAGATTACCTATTCTCTTCCATTCTCCTTTGCTTTTGGTTTTCTTGGGTGGGTTTTTTTTTTTCCCCCCAAAAAAAAAAAAAAAAAAAAGAAAAAAAGAAGAAAAAAAACCAAGCTGACCTCCAGCACGTGTTTTCGGAAGAACTGGGTTGATGCTCTGCCCCAGCAGCCGCTGACCGTGCCTTCCTCCACGGTACCTCACCCGTGCCCGGAGATCCCCGGCTGGTTATTGCTTAATTCTCCCTCCCCATACTGGCCTTTAGGGTATTTACATTTCTTTGGCTTGAACACAACAGTCTGGCATTTTCTCTCCGGCGTGGGTTG